GGGGGGGGGGGGGGAGGAGAAGGCGAGCGCACGCGTGCGCGCACGCATACGCACCAAAGAAAGGGGAAGGGGCGTGCCGGTGTTTGGCGATTATTAGTGGGCACCGCCGCCAGTCCACTCGATGGTCTTCAGGTCAATGCCCTCCTGGATCATGTCCCACAGGGGGCTCATCTCACGGAGCTTGGTGACGTTATCGATGGTCTTCTGCAGGCAGAACTCGATCTCGGCATCGGTGGTGAAGCGACCTGCATTCCGGGGGGCGGGGGATAAGCCGAGGTTAGTGGGGGGGAGAAGGGAGGAAAGCCCAGCGAGAGGGGGAAGGGGAAGCAGCACATGGAGGCGCGCTCCGTCCTCGGCCTCTCCCGCCGCCCGCGATGAGCGTATGTATATGCATGTGTGCGTGTGTGTGTGTGTGAAAAACACACGCAGGGAGGTGGGAAGAAGCATGTGCCCCGGGAACGCACCGATGCCGAAGCGGATGCTCGAGTGGGCCATATCCTCATCCTGGCCGAGGGCACGCAGGACATAGCTCGGCTCGAGGGAGGCGCTGGTGCAGGCCGACCCCGAAGAGAGGGCCATATCCTTGAGGGCCATCAGGAGGGACTCGCCCTCGACACAGGAGAAGGACACGTTCAGGCAGCCAGGCAGCCGGATGGGCGAGCCGGCCTCCTGGGGGCCATTGACAGCGATGTGGGTGAGACCCTCCTGCAGGCCGGCCAGCAGCCGGGCGGACAGCCGGGAAATGCGCTCATGGTCGTAGTCCATCTCGCGGGCGCAGACATCGGCCGCCGCGCCGAGGCCGACCACCAGCGAGGTGGGCACGGTGCCGCTACGCACACCGCGCTCCTGGCCACCACCGGACTGGAGGGCCTCAATGCGAACACGCGGGCGACGGCGGACATACAGAGCACCAACACCCTTCGGGCCGTAGATCTTGTGGCCACTGATGCTGAGTAGATCGATGTTCATCTTCTGCACGTCGATCGGGATCTTGCCGGCGGCCTGGGCGGCGTCGGTATGGAAAAAGACCTTGTTCTCGCGGCAAATCTGGCCGATCTCCGTCAGGGGCTGGATGACACCAATCTCGTTGTTGACGGCCATGATGGACACGAGGCAGGTCTCCGGGCGGATGGCAGCGCGCAGGGCCTGGACATGGGCATCCACCGAGGAGAGGGGAGGGGAGGGGAGGGGAGGGGCGGAGGGGGCATGAGTACAAGGCTCGGAGTGAACACCAGAGGGAGGAATCGGCCGAGAGCGGCCGGGCGAGAGGCGACCGGTGGCACGCACATCCAGGTCAATCAGGCCGTTGCTCTGCACCGGGAGGTAGGTCACCTCGAAGCCCTCCTGCTCGAGGACACGGCAGCTGTCCAGCACACACTTGTGCTCGGTCTGGGTGGTGATGATGTGGTTCTTGCTCTTCTTGTAGAAGCGGGCCACACCCTTGATGGCGATGTTGTTGGACTCGGTGGCGCCGGAGGTGAAGACCACCTCCTTGGGGTCGGCGGCGCCGATCAGCGAGGCGACCTGCTCGCGCGCGGTCTCCACGGCCCCCTCACTGTCCCAGCCATAGGCGTGGGTGCTGGAGTGGGGGTTGCCATAGAAGTGCGACGTCATGTAGGGGAGCATGGCATCGAGGACGCGGGGGTCCTATGGATGGCGGCGGATGGGTGGATGGATGGGTCGACGAACGGGTGAGGGAAAGCATGGAGAGGGCTGGGAAGGCAGCCGGGCCGACGAGGGGGGCACCGGGGGACATAGCAAGAGAAGGGGGCAGGGGGGGGGGAAGGGGGAGGAAAATGCTAACACACCATCGGCGTGGTAGCCTGGGCATCCAGGTACAGGGGGAGAGTGGTCATGTCGCTCTGCTCGCGCGAGGAGATGTCCTTGCGCACGGTGGGGATCCCATAGGTGCCAGCACCACCGCCGTAGTTCTGAGTGGCGAAGGAGCTCGCCCGGTCAGATGGCCGAGGGGCGGCCGAAACCCCAGTAGAGTCTGTCCCGGGAACAAGGGGCAGCGGGGAAGACGAAGGGCGGAGGGGGGGAGGGGGGAGGGGGAGGGCGGAGGGTGAGCTTTTGGATGCATGAAGAGGGAAGACACCGGTGGGCAGACGCACAGGCAGCGACGGCACGAGGGGTCGCCGAGCGGAGGGTAGCCTGCGCAACGATGCGCTGAGCAAGACGGCTGCCGCTCGCGCGCATGACGTGGGAAGAAATCATCTTTCAGGGGGAAGGAGGGGAGGGGCGATGCATGGCGAGAGGTGAGCACCTGGTGGGACACAAAAGGGTGGGGCATGGAGGCGGGGGGGGCGGGGGCGGGGGCGGGGGCGGGGGCGGGAGAGGCAAGACAGGAGGTGGGTACAGTTACGGGAGTGTCCGGGACAGGAGAAGGTGGAAAATGGGGGTGGGGTGGGTGGGGAGGGGGGGGAGGGGGGAGGCGACGACAGAAGACAGGGGGGACGGGGAAGGGAGATGTGGAGGCCCCCAAGGTCTGGGGAGGAGACTGGCGGGGGGGGCAAAAAGTCAGCCGGACGATCTTCCCTTCCCGGCTGCAGCGGCCGCGCCCTCGCCCCCCGCCCCGAGCGGCACACTAGTGGTCCGGCCAGGGTTAAAATGACACGTTGTGCACTGGCACACCGGCCTTGGCGCCGCCCCCCTCTCATCCCGGCGGCCGCGGGGGCGCGGATTTCCATGGCTGAGTGCGCGCGCCCATGGCGGGTGTGGAAATCACCTCAGAGTGATACGTTCTCGGACCCCCTCGCCGCCCCCCGGTCCCGCCCCCGCGTGCACCTGGCGAGCGGCCCGGCGGGACGGTGGGACTGGACCGCGCGCGAGCCCGGGCGACAAAGTGGGGGGTTGCCGGCGGGGGGGGGGGGGGGGCGGGCGGGCCAGCCCCGGTTATGCAGGAGGCACCCCTTGGCCGGCCAACAAACGGGGGCTTGGATGGTCCCCCTGTGCCTTGCTTGTCCGACGAGCGGCGGCCACCTTCCGGAGGGAGCCGGGGGCATCCACCCCATCAGTGGGCACCCCCACGGTGGGCGGGCTGAGGGCGGGGCGCGTGGATGACCCCTGTAAGTAAGCAGCGAGACAAGCCGGGGGGGCGGTCAACATGGCGAACGTCAGGATGGCGTGAACATCCGGGGCGTGATTCGTCGCGGTCAGCAGCCCCTCATGTGTTCTCCGTGGAATGGCGGCTATGTTGTTCAACATGCAGGCCGGCGATTTCGCGCCAGGGCGGGGGAGATCGGACACGGCGGCCTGTTCGCGGGAATAACGTCCGCGGCGGCGGCGGGAAGGGGGGCCGGGCGGCGGCGGCGGCGGGAACAGCGAGGGACAGCGAATTCTCACCATCATCATAGCCCCCTTACGCACAATGTGGGTCCCGGTTTTTTCGGGAAGCCGCGGGGGGGGGGGACAGGGGAACTCTGGCCGCGGAGGCTCGCAAGGCCCTGGCGGGTATTTGTCCCGGCCTGGCCCGGCCCGGCCCCCCCCCCCCCCCCCCCCGGCTTTCTGGTATGTGCGGGCCAGGATGCTTGGGGGAGTAAGGCGGCGCCGAAAGGGGGGGCAGACGAGGGGCGCCCGGGCCCGTGCGGGGGTGGAGGGGCGGGGGGGCGTCGACGAGGTTCGGCCTGCGCCTGTCTCCCCGGCCCGGGCGCCCCTTTGTCCCCTGTCGCCCCTTCCCCCCCCCCCCCCCTGCCCCCTCGCCTGCTCTGTGGGCGCTTTCCAACCGAGTGTGCATCGCCCGCTGGCTGGCCGACAAGGGCGAGTCCACTTGACAAGCTTGGACCCACTGCTGCTCATCATGGGGGGGGGGGGGGGGGAACTGCGAGAGGGAATAATGCGCATTTATTATTTATTGCCCCTCCGTTCCCCGGGGGCGCCAACCCAACACGCCCCGACCCCCATCGCCGGGGCATATTGCCGCAGTGGCAGGGGCGCACCACGGTGGGTCAGCCCTCGGGTCTGCCTGTGGTGGTCCGTCTGCTGAGAGTGCTGACCCCCCCTCTCTCTCTCTCTCTCTCTCTCCCTGGGGCCGTCCCCCCTCCCGCGCGCCCCCCAAAAACACGACTCTGTGGCGGACCGGCCTGGCCGGCTGCCCCGACGGAGGCTCGTGTCTGACCCCCGCTCGGCCCCCCCCCCCCCCTAGGACGAGGGGGGCGGCACACCCTCGGGAGCCTCTGCACGACTGGCTGCTGCCATTTGGCGAACAGACGCACGACCGCGCCGGGGCGCGCCTGAACGAATGTCTCCAGGACAATTGTGTTTTCTCCACACATGCCTGCTGGCGCTGGCACTTCGGGAGATCCCCGCCCCCGTCCCCGAGGGGAGGGCGGTGCGCAGACAAGGGCCGGACGGGCCCGGAGAAGTGGAACGAGGGGGGGGGGGGGGCGGGCTCGGGCCACCAGGCGACTGTGCCGTTTTGCCCTCCCGCCGGGCAATTGAATGAGTGGAGGGGCCTTGCAGGCCTGCCAGCCTGGGCTGCCAGGCCACCCTCTTCCTCCTCCCTCCCCCTCCTCCCTCCCCCTCCTCCCTGCCTTCGCGAACGAGCGGACGTGCCCACTTGCCCGCCCTCTGCCCCCCCCCCCTCCCCCTTTGCCCATCGCTGATCGGCCCGTCCTTATTCCCCTGTTGGTAGGCAATCCACCCCGTTTGCCAACATGCCCCCTCCGAAGCGGTGCGCCCCCCCCCCCCCCTCCTTCCTGGCTGCCTTTGTGCTCTCGCTGCGCCCAGTCCCGACATTTGCTCTGACACCCATCTCGGTGGCTATAATCTGGCTGTCCATTCAGGCGGCAGTCGACGCGGCGTACCCCGTCGTCGTCAGATCTCACTGCTAGCCAGGCTGAGCGCAAGCAGGTATGCGGACGGCCTCCCCCCCACGCCATGAGTCGCACCCCTCTCGTCTCCTGACTCGCCGATTCACCTCCGTCCCCCCCCCCTTCCCCTGCTTCCCCTTTCCTTCAGGCTCGCGAGGAGAGGCGCAAGGCCCTCCTTGAGTTGTCTGGCGCCCCATCTCCCAGCGCGACCTCTGTGCGTCTCTCTCTCTCTCTCTCCCTCCCTCCCCCAAATCAGGCCTCTGCCCCTTCTCTTTCATGCACCTTCCTCACCTTTCGTCCTTTCCCCACTTCACAGTCCTCAATCGAGTCTACCCCCTCCAGTTGCCCTCTCGATGGGGAGGGCGATGATGACATGAAGGCCTTCGAGCAGCGGCAACGGGAGCGGGCAGAGAAGCGTCGGGCCCGTCAGGCCAAGATTCAGGCTATTTCCGGCGATGGTGATGCCGATGCCGACGGGCCGACTGGCATCTCTTCCCGTTCGGCTGACACCATTGTCATGGACACTCGGAGCCCTGAGCCAGAGCCTGTTGCAGAGCCGGAGCCTGTCGCTGAGCCGGAGCCGAAGCCGGAGCCTGTTGCGGAGCCGGAGCCTGTTGCGGAGCCGGAGCCTGTTGCGGAGCCGGAGCCGATTGTGCAGGCCAAGTCCGAGCCGGAGCCCGAAGCCAAGCCCGAGCCGACTGTCGAGGAGGACACTCCCGAGGCTCGGATTGCGGCTCG